TCTGATCGAACTATGCAAATTACTGTCGCTTCTTATCAAAACACTTTCCACACAGTTTTGTTTGCGATAATTTTAATTGTTTGCAAATACAACTGAATGTAAATTGCAATTAATTACACTTTTAATTGCGGCCACTTCACCGACTATCGAACAGCTACCAAAGGCAAGCAAACTTCAGCCAGAAGCAGCAGCGGCGGCAGGCCACACAATTTGCCTCTCAATGGTACTCGAAACGAATGATTAATATTTCTATCATTATCATTCGGGGAGGTCCTAATCTGAAGAAATAAATTGTCCGTTCATTGAATTTGCGAAAAGTGAAATCAAACAGAGACAGAATAGTAGTAGCAACAACAACAACAAAGGCAGGCGACAAAAGGTGAGAAGAATTCATTTAACATGACCCAAATAAACAAATCATTAATAACATTTGTCCAACAATTTAACTTGTAAGACAATAACAACAACAACAGTAACAACAGTAACAACTAGACTAAAGACAATCAGCCAGACAGCCAGCATACAACACCGCCACCACCAACAACAAGCATCATTCCCAGTTGTCAGCCCGAACATTAACAGGTCGCACGGTCGCCGGCCATGCGTGTAAACCTGACTAGAAACTGAAAAAAGGGAGATGTGAAATTGTGATAAGGCCAAGTCACAAAGACAAATTGCAACAATTATAGCCGGAACATGATAACACACACACATAAGGCAGCCGGTCGGCCACTCGAAGACTTGTGAGTACCAGTGAGTGGGCATTACTTCGACGAAGCACTTGTGAATAATATAAAACTAGGAGCGCGGCTCTGATCAGTTCATAGTTTATGACGAACATTAACATTGGATTATGCGTATTCAAGAAATTGGTTTATTGCTGTTGGTGGTGACAGTGGCGGTCACAGCCAAGAGTCGTTCGGAAAAAGGTAATTTTCGAAAAAAAAAAATGGCAAACAATTGTTCACACATTTTATTTTTTATTTCTTCTTTGCAGTTAAACAAAAGGCTGTACCATTATACCGTTCCCTGGATGCCGAGGAGCCCAATACTGAAGAAATCGCAAAAATACCAATTATACCAGTAGCTCAGGATTCGACCGGACAGTCGGAACGGAAGGTGGATAATGAAGGTCGTCTTTTGAAACATTTGTTGCTTTTGAAGAACTTTGGCAAGTGGGGCTCTGGGGGTAATGGTAACAGTGGTAATAATAATATGGTGCCCTATGTCATTGTCAATTCACCGGCAACGCTGACCAATGTCAACACTAATAATGGAGCAGCACAGCCAACAACTACAACGACTACAGGTGGTGGTACAGCGACAGGCACCGGAACGGGAACAGGTACTGGCGGCACTGGTACAGGGACTGGAGGTACTGGAACTGGCACTGGCGGTGGTGGCACTGGTACAGGTGGTGGAGGAACAGGTACCGGTGGAGGAGGTACTGGTACCGGTGGAGGAGGAACAGGCGGTGGTGCCACTGGTGCTGCAGCTCCTCTAGGTATGCGTTATGCTTATGTGAGGGTACCAATACCATCACCTATGTATCAACAGCGGCCATATTTACCACGGATTGTTTATGGACCTCCGCCGCAGGTGGTACGTCGCAAAAAGCCAAAAAGAAATACGAAGAAAAATCCATTTTCAGCATTTACAAATAGTTTTAAGAGGATACAATATGCTTAATGTGTCTACTTATATGAATATATAAAATGTTATTTATTTATTTTTTTAACACAAAACATTATTGGGTTTTTAATTTACAAATTTAAACAAAATTATGGAGGGTATATTTTATGAGTTATTCCGACTGAAATATTTGGAAAATTTACGGGTGCTGTCTGAAGATATAAGTGAGGAAATATATTAAGGATCCGAAATCTACATTTGATCTAAACTGAACATGACTTTAAATTGAAAATAAGTGATATAAATTTTAACAAGTTTAAAAAAATATAAATCTTATAAAATGCGAATTGCGTTTGTCATTTTGATTTGCACATAAAACTTATATAAGGTCTAAGATTGATAGCAATAGTGCTAAATCCCGACACGCAGACTTTGTCTTCGCGGTCCTGCTAAGCACTGTGTAATATATATATATAAATATTTTATATGGGGAAACCATGATAGATGAGGGGAGAACAGAATAGACACAACAGACTCATGGAAGCTCACCTCCAAACGAACACATCTATATCTGGTGCTGGGGAAGGAAAGCTACGAGGGCTTCGTAACATTCAAAGCTGCAGTGCCAGACAATGTCTTCACAACATAGATACCAATCCTTAGAGACATTTCGAGTTGATCATGCAATCATAGCCTGGTTAAGTCACTTGCTAAGAAATATATGGATAAACTGTAGCCAATAATAAATAAATATCATGGATAAAGAGGATAATGGACTCCGCAGGGAGGGATTTTATCACCGCTGCTGTGGGTGACCACTATCAATAGTCTCTTGAGGACCTTAACTGAGGATGGATTTGAACTCGTCTGTAATGCATACGATGTTATAATAATTCTGAGGAGAAAGAATACTAACTTGTTACGAAGGAAGACTGAAACGTGTTAAACATTGCCTATAATTGAGCGACGTCGAGGGGACTTAACGTCTATTCAACAGGAAGACAAAAATATAACAGTTTGAAGAACCCATCTTTCAAAACAATGTGATAATATGAAATAAAACTATTTATCTGGGGGTAATACTAGATGGAAAACTTAAATGGAAAGACCACATACAGGACCGGGCTATAGGCTCTAAATGCAGAAGAGCTATAGGCTCTAAATGGGGTTTTAATCCAAAGATGATACACTGGATCTAAAGGAGCGTTAATGGACCAATTCTAATATACCTCGGCAGTTTGGTGGACAACAAAATGTAACGTAAATTTGTCACATAATGTTCAGATAACATGCTGCCTTGGTTTATGTGGGGCAATGGGGACAGCACCGACAGGATCTTTAGAATCTATATTGTAGCTTTAGGAATAGAGCGCTCCAAAATATATGACAGACAACAATCGGATCCTCAATAAGTAATTTTGAGTAGGACCGAACTCCAGACAGTGAATCTTGGAATAGTGAAACACTAGTAAACATGCCTCTGATATCTGTCGTTACGAAGATTTGAACATTTCCTGTGCCACCGCCCAGCTTTCTCACGCTTCCCAACCCCATTCCTTGGAAATGACACCTCTCGTGAAATAACCTACCTAAGGGGATGTGAATGGAAAAAACTGAAGGACTTCACTATTCTTAGGCGTCTAGAACAACAAAATCCAAAGATGACTCTATTCCTGCTCTAGAGAGCACAACACGTGCAACATGTGTATAGAGATAACAGTTGTGTGGATATAATGTCCACATTCAGATCTGAAATAATTATACATTCGCTTAAATCAATTATGGAAGCACTTTTTCTAACTTCTGTCGGCGAAAACCGTTTATTTCGCACTTTTTCTTAATATAAAGGAGTCTTCCGAAGTAACCGGCAAAGGTCTGGCATTTTATAATAAGTGAGCTGCTCCATTATACTATTCGAATGAAACTCAGTTGATTAATTCTAGCTAGTATTTGAAAAATTTAAATTCCCGATTAGAAATTAAATTTTAAGCCACTTAAGTTTTAGAATGAAGCAGAACCTTAAAATGAGAGATATGTGAAATTGAAGATATTCTTTTGGTACTGTTCGCTCCTCTGAAAATTTAAAATGCCAAGCTATAGCTACTTCGTATAAAAATGTATTTCGATTTTTTTCTTCCAGAACCCTTTTTTTAGAATATTTTGGGGATTTTTGGCACGTTTTACAACTGACTTGGTGGTAATTTTATACTGTTAGGTCTCACTGGGTCATTATCTAAGATAGCGTCCATATAAAGGATGCCTTCCAAATTTCGGTATTTTGTGGAGTTTGGGCTCGTTTTTAAACCGAATTCCGTGTTCACATGTGGCAGCAAATCTTTATATAAAAATCTTCAATATTCACCCCTTTTACGATAGCCCCCATATAACGGTAACATTGAGTGTCAAATCTTCTGACCAAAAATTTACCATGACATTGCCCGCAAATATATCAAGGACCCGAGGTATTACGGGTATTTGAAGGTCCAACTTACGGTAGAGTTTCGTTTTTTACTGTTAATATGCTCTAGTGTATTGTGTAAATCAGTCAATATTTTCTCAATTTTGCTACAGTTTCCAATTGTCATGACTTTCCTATATAAAATATTTCATGACAATTTCAATATTTATTTTTCTCCTTTTCTATCTTATTTTTAGTTACGGTGGCGTATAATTTAACATATTGACCTCTAACATTAAATAAAATAAAAATATATTTTCTTCATTCACGTTAATGCAAAGCACATCCCATGGGAACAAACCTATTACATTTCAACTCAATAACTCAGTGGTACATCGATACTTCATAACGTAGGCTTCCAGAAACCCTAACTCACAGATAACAAAACATTGGTCATTTCACAACTTCTAGTAATTATTTTAATGCCCAGTAGAAGAAGACGAAGAACTTCCAGCCGCATTAACTATTATGTTGGCCTATTAAATGTTAAGAACAATGTTGGCTTCAATAAAACCAACTTCACTGCGGTCATCTTTCTTTACAATTCCCTAGAAATCTCTGCTCCCATTAAAATGAAGCCAAACAATAATGAATGTTTAGAGAGGGGTAGAGTGAGAGAAGCCAAATGAGAATATATACAGATTGGTTAATTATATTATACTATTTTTGTAGTTTATTACAAAGGCAGATTTTTGGATTTTAGTGGAGGCGGGTAGGGGCAGGAATGGGCTTGTTAAAATGTAAATTCCTTCAAGTGTTCGTTTATTCATCCATCTATCTATCCCATCATCATTATAATCGCCAGTGAATAGAACAGCTAAATTACAATGTACACGCACAGTATCAGCGGCAACAGAACACGAATGATAGGTCAGAGGTCATATCAACGAACACCGCGCACCATGGTTACTTAGTAATTATAGACGATTGGTGTTTGGCGCCTAAGGGCATTCATTATGCTTTGGATGCGTTCATTGGCGTTGATGTTAAAGAAGCTGCTGCTGCTGCCACCACCATTGTTGTTGTTGCCATTGTTGAGGGAGAAAACATTGCCATTTGGCCTAGGCATCTTGGCAATGCTTTGTGCAATCTGTTCCGCTTTTACAAGATTACGATTGCGTGTTCTCATATTATTACGTTGGCGTTGAAGTTGATTACGTTTAGCGTTATTCCGTTGTGCTGATTTCCTTCTTCTTTGTCTGGTGTTTTTGTACTTTTTATTGCGGCTGTAGACGCTATTAGCGGGCATCCGAATCTCATCCTGAGGATTATCACTAAAAATCGGGTCATTTAGCAAGTCATCCTGGATACCAAGTAGATTGTCAGAATCCAAATCGTCATCTCTTCCCAACTCAGCGGCATATGTAGTTGATGTACCCCTGGTGGCCCCCGTTGGTGAAGATGTTGTTGGCGATGTGGGGGTTGTGGGTGCTGGGGCAGTAGTAGTGGGCGCTGGTGCTATAATAATGATGTTGCTCTCCTGTTGCGGGAACATTCCCTTAAACATTTTCATTAAGCCACGTCCTTCATCGGAACCGCGTCCCTCTTGCCCATCAATATCAGTGGCCGGGTTGGGGGTAAAGAAATTCGCCGATCGCCCCTGGGCTCTTAATTTTCTTTCGTGGCGTGGAAAGAGTCGCCAAGCTGTAGAAACCAATTAGCGGAATAAATGCCAAAGAGAAATTAAATTGAACAAAGGCGGCAAGTATTTATTGTTGGAATGCAAGCAACATTCAACGTACCTGACCTGGCACGAGAGCGTGCCTTTGAGGAGATGACACTTTCAGTGCAAAGAGCAAGGCAAAGCATCACAGTCACTAAGATTTTTAATGATATTTTTTCAAGATGCATTGCGTTTGGCGTTTGTATTTGTATTTAAGACGATTTCAATGTTTTGCACTTCCTTTTTTCCTTTTTGAGTTTTTGAATCGTTCTTTTCTTTATGCCACAACTCTGACCATTATATATCACTTTGCAAATAAAGTTGTTTTATTTCGATGCCGTTTAAGCTGTTGAAGCTTTTATAGAATTTTCGCCAGCAAGAAAAGAAAGTTTTCATTAGTTCTTTTAATTTGATGAGATTCTAATTAGCCAGCCTTGGGCAGTTATAGACAACCACAACCGTAACCTAATATTAATTGGTCTTTGAGAGGGATGGAATATTCGGTGTGCGTGACAAGAAGAATTTGTCGATTGTCGCGGGGTGGAGCTTATTTTTACTGTCAAAATATCATAATTTGCATTTAAAAATATATATTCAATTCAAAATTTGATTTGTGTTCTTTCTAAGGCCTACTAACAAACAAGCATGTTGTGTTTTTTTCGGTGAAAGCATTTCTGTGCGAGATCTTTGCAATTATAGTTTAGGTTGTGTCAAATAATAAATGAAAAAATGTGTTCAAGGCAATCTAGAAAGGAAAAGACCTCTGTTTTGTAATATATAATATTATTAATGACTAAATTGTATTTTTATCGTATGGTAGAGAAGCCTTCGGTTTCGGGTCTTGTCACAGATCTTCATCGCCAAGTTATTTTGTAGCATATTAAAACTTAAACAACATATTCACAAACAGCCTCAATAAACTTAAGCGAATTGTACACCCATCCAAATTACATATATGTAGCATACAAAAATATATATTACCTCTTGACATATTAAGAGTACGCAAAACACTACTGCCACTAGTGCCCTAACTACACACACACATACGATTTTATATGTACATACTAATACTGTTGCGTCCAAAATTAAGCCAACCTGAGCCATCAGTGTCATTCTCAAAGTCAGTAAAAGTTTTGTCCTCTGGTCATTTTCAAATATTTCATTTCTAATCTTTATGAATATGAATTTATGGATGTCCTCTGAAGGACAGATTTGCTTGCAAGCAAATCTAAAAAAGGCTTTAAGGCGAATACATACTGCATGAATATGTGTGTGTGTGTGTGTGTGTATGCGTTTGTCTGTGGAAGATGATTGTAGATAATTTTTAGCACTGCCACTACAAGTGATACTTGTTTCTTTATGCCCTATACACAGAATTATGGTAAAAGAACAACATTTGTAAGTGTGTCTGTGTGAAGTAAAGTTTGTTTTTGCTTATTTTAATAAATTAAACACTTTCGAAAAACAGAAAGTACTCAAAGGAGTTATTATATATGTAGGGAATTTCAAACTTTTGTGCTTTTACCATTTTAAACTGAATGGTAGAATTGACTAGGATACCTGGTATGTGTCGCAACATACATTTGTTATTGTTGCATGTAATATAGCAGAACACTACATACATATTGCATCCAATAAAGATTGAATGGAAAGAAAAAAACAGAATTTCTTGGTATTTTGAGACATGTACATTGTTTGAGTCGCAAAATATAAATGTTATATTCCAGCCCAAAATAGAACATAATGTGCTTTACCTTCAATTTATTTTTTTATTCAGGAGTATTATATTTAAATTCGCTGCGATTTCTGGAGATAACCACCACCTACGGGTTTACTTATAGGCCAACAAAAAAATGTTCCAGATATTTTGTGATTCGATTCATGAGACCACTCAACATTACAAAAATGAACTGAAAATGAAACAATATCCGAATATGCTACAAAGGCGTTAAACGCATTTCGCTTGTATTCTACAAACATATCGACTGCTTTGAGAACTTCGAAAGGGATGGGTAAAATACTGGCAACATCTTATTACACAGGGTTCCTTTTTTTTTGGTCCAAGGCCACACCCTATTGAATTGGGACAAATCGGTTAGATAAAGATCCCATATATATTTTCGTCCGATTTAACGTAAATGATTATTTGTTTTTGCATTGAAGAAATAAATAATGTCAACATATTTATTTTTTAATATTGTATAAAAAATCCAGAAAATGGTATTGGAGCTACTCTTCTATTTTAGCTAACGAAAAATGTGCATGTTAGGTTGGGGAATTAGAAATCCATTATTTTTATATGAACTATACTACTTTATTTAACATGCTTCGTAATGTCCGATTTGGGCGAAGTATGCACCGTTTTGTTATATGATCTGTTGCCAGTTTAAAGTTAACTTAATAATGCCTCTCTCATAGAAGTCCTGCGCTCTATTTGCAAAAAACTCTAGTTGTCGATTTTCACAATCCTACCTTGATCATTAAAAAAATTTTGGAATGCAAGAAAAAACAAGATATGAAAAATTATTTGTTTTTGCATTGGAAATAAATAATGTCAACATATTTATTTTTTAATATTGTATAAAAAAAACGAGTCACTGTCGATTTTAGTATTTCACCGTGGCCTAGCGTTGTCCTGATGGAACACGACACCCCTTCTGTTAGCCGTTTCTGGTAATTTGTAAATGGTTTAAACAGTTTTATGGTCCTGGGTGATGTTACGAATGCTAACACGCCGGTCAACTTCGGCCATTTCACCGATTTTATCGACATTTTCGATGACTGCCCTACCTGTGCGAGGTGCATCTTTAACATCAAAAATTCCTGAACAGAATCTACGAAACCAAAATTGCACATAATTGGCTGTTACAGTATCGGAACCATAAACACAATTCACAATTTTAGCCGCTTGACTTACATTTCGCCTTTGTCGAAGAAAACTGTAATATGTACCGAATTTTCTCTTTATTTACTTCCATTTTTAACACCCTGTGCAACTGAATGCACAAAACAAAAACAGCAAAATATTTTTTTTTACTGCGAAATGTCACCCTTCCAACGACCATAAATCTAAAATTGTTTGATCGATACTTTGCGAGAAATCTATCAGTACAGCCATCTGCCGAAAAAATAATGGATTTCTTTTTCACCAACCTAATATGTCAAATTACATAGATTCGCAAGTACAACAATTCTATATTTGATGTTTGAAACTAGAAGAAAAAATCAAAAAACACTCCAAATCGTACTTCAGTTGCAGGTAAAATATTGAAAGCGATCCATACGGGATGTACTTCTTATTTTCTAGGCTTCTACTTTTACATTTGCATGAAGGACGTGAAAGGCGTGGCTTAGTAACAAATCGAGAAAACCACAAAAAAACCTTTGATGCCTTATCTTTTTTTATCCGCTTTTTATATTAATGTAGACACAGCATCCACGAAAATAATCCTTGCAGCTCAATATCATGAAAAGTTTTCAACGACAGATTAATAAATCAAAAAGCTATTCAATTTTTCTTTTATATAATTGAATAACTCCCGATATATAAAGTGGTGAACCTCCACTTCAGCTTTGTTGTAAATTTGACAATATTGTCCCTATACGATACGATTTAACAAATTTTTATTTTTTTTAAATTCAAATGCTATTAAATGTCTGCCCTTACATTGGTAGAACTATATGAATGTAGGGTACCCTATGATCAAACATATTGACTATTGAATCTGACCAACTTTATAGACTATACTACTTTGTACTTGTTAATTGCCGCATATGCCATTATGTGTTTCATTTTGCCATGGGAAATATTTTCTGTATCAGATGCCAATCATCATTAATGTCACTCAAACATTCACACAAAGTAATTCAGTTGATTTTGCTGGAAGCCACATTTGAAACCATTTAAGAGCAGTCTATTGCATTAGATATTTCATTGGAAGAGGTTTTGTGGGGATGAGTGATACATGGTGTTGTGATCGATTTGAATGGAAACTATTGTATTTCCTATAACCATAAAAATGTGTATGTATATAATTCATGCAAACTTATAGAGAAGTCCCCTCTATTAATTTTCAGCAATCAAAAAAGTTTTTTCTTTCCAAAATCTAAACTTTATCACCTACTCTATATTGCAAGTGATATTTTATTAAATAATATCCTATCGAAAGACTGTTAATTGGTACATTCAAGATATATGGAGAAGCTATTCTGCATACAAAGAACATATATGTTAATATGTGTATGTTATGTATGTTATAAAAACGTGTAGCAGCAAATTGATCCATTTAATTTGTTGTGACAGCCTATCATCAATAATTTATGTGTGTCCATAAAAATCTCTGATGCTTTCGGGCACATCAGGTATCTGTGGCATAAAATGATTTTTAAAGTGTAGTTTGTTGTTATTTGTCTTTCCAATACAAAGAACATCTTTTATAATATAAAAAAAGCTATATAAATATATTAATTAATTATTTAACAATATGCATATTCAAGTATGTATGTACGTGTATGTGCGTGCATTTTTACTTATTCATGCATTTATTTTAAACTACACCAAATCTGTGGTATATTGGATTCTTGATATATCGAGGCAACAGAATAAGAGAACACACGTGGATGACTGAAAGAACGTTCATAGATTTTCACAGACTCTAGAATGTGTTTGCAATATTTTCCACAGTTTTTAAAATGTTCCAAAATTTTCTAAAAAAAAATTGTCTTTAGTTCTGTATGATGTCAAAGAGTCGTCATTGTTATGTTTTTTTTTTTTTTCTTTGCAGACTTTTTATGTTATATCTTAATTTTTTTGTGCATGTGTGTATGTGTGTGCTTTTTCTCACACAATGATATATTTATAATACATACATTAAATTATTTATGCATGTTCAATTTATTTATCGATTTTTTTTTCAGTTTGTTATTATAAATTTTTGTTTTTATTAGATTTTTGCTTGATTGCAAATATAACAACATGTAC